AAAGAAGAATTTATATATATGCCTATGTATTTATAAAAAGACTGCTCCCCAAGAGGCCCAGGGAGCCCAGAGTCTGCATTGGCTGAAACCTGGTGGAGAGGTCAGGGAGAACCCCACCCCATCCGTTTGGTGGAAGGAGGGTGTGGGTTTGGAAAGGTCAGGCTTCCCCCCTGCACCTGTGGGAAGCAGAGGTTGGTCCCCTTTACCTCTCCCCAACACAGTGGTTCATGCCCCTGAGACACCCCAGTGGTGAGAACCAGAGAACAAGTGGCATGAAGCACATTGAGCTCACTATTGGGACCCGGAGCAGACGTGCCAGGCTGCTAACAGGGATTTGGGTGGCTGTGCCCAGTACCTGCTGATGCTTATCTGGATGTGCCTGTCTTGGGGTCTTTAGTTCCTGTTACAAACTCCACCTGGACACTCCATTGCTTCAGTGACATACTAGCTTGTTGCTTTGGTGACTTGTCTCTTGAGGGTTCTGGAGGCCTCAGCCCTTGGCAGTGGTCTTCCTCACCTTGGGCAGCAAGCCCCGAGGAGCAGTGTCTGGGGTTTGTTTCTGGAAGGAGATGCTGTTTTTGAAGTGTTCGTTTAGATTGGGGGTGGGGGTGGGGGTTGCAGGGCTGTCTCCTCCTCCTGCCTGCCCTTCCTGACTGTATTCCATTTCTTCTCTCCTTCCCCTTCTCTCCACTTCCTCTCCCTTCCTTCTGGAAAATGCTATTCTTTTCCAGCTCCTGCTTTGCACATCTTTCCACAGTAGATGGAAATTGCTGTATATTCTGAGCCGTGGCTGGCCCCTAACCATGCATCATAATAGTAATAATAATCATCATCATGATAATGATCTCACTGGAGGAGGACCGCAATCTCCAGTTCTGCTGCCCACTGGGTGGGGTGGCCTCCTGCCTCCAGCGGCCTGCACTTGGCTTTCCGTACTGAGCTGGGTTTGGAGAAGGATGAGGAGGTGGGAGGGAGGCTGGGAGGGGGACTTGGGCAAGGAGGTGGTGAAGGGAGGGAGCCTTTTTGCACCTTGGGAGGGGCTGGTGTATCTGACACATTTGGAAACTTCAAGGTGACACAGCAAACCTGAATTTTCCAAAGCCTCAGGGGCCCACTGTGGAGGGGACAGGGAGGAAGGTGACGCATTGTTCCTGTGATGAGCAGCCAGGCAGACTCCCAGGGCTGTGGTGGAAAGTCAAGAGCAGCGCGTTCGCCCTGGGATGGAGCACCCTCACCTTGCTGGCCGTGTGGGGCTGCCAGGGTTGGTCGAGGCAGTGCGAAGGGAAAGGCTTTGCAGGGATGTCAAAAGAAAGAAAAAAAAGCCCCAGAAATGTACAGCAGAATGTCAAGGAGAGGAGCATCAGGGAAGCGTTTCTTCCTGGAGCCTTGGTCCCTCCTGCAAGGCCACGTCTGTGGAAGGCATCCAGGTGGAACTTCAGTGTCCCTGCACTTGAGTGCCCAGTGAGGGGACAGGGCTCCCTGAGAAGCTGCAGTGTCAACCCAGCAGGTAGAGCCACCTTGTCCCAGCAGGTGGCTCCCGACTTTCCCCCCAACTGCCAGGGACATGATAAAGCCACCGAGGCACAGTTGGCAGCTCTCTGTGGGGCTGCCCTCTGGAGCTTGGAGGGATATAGTTCTCTGGTTTCCTTGGCAGCATTTGAGAGTGGTGGGCGAGGCATATTGGGAATCGGGTGGGGGGTCTGGGAGGACCCCTGGAGGCCAATGTCTGGATAGGCCAGTGGAGGGCTGGCCAGGTGTGGGGATGGAGGTGCTGCTGGCCTGGGCTTCCCTCTGAGGTGCTTCTGCCACTTCTGGAGCTTGCTTGGCCCTGCCACTTTTTATGAACACGCATTGTTGGGCACATTAATGGGATTTGGTGTGATATTTGCACACATGTGTAAATCTGTGCCTTGAGGAAACGTGGGCCACGTTTTCTTCACCTGCTCATCTGTTGATGGGTTCCGAGGCCCAGTCAGTATCACAGCTGTTACACACAGTAGTGCGATGCACGTGCAGTGCCACCTTCTGAGGGCTGAGTGTTTGGAGCACAGGTGGGAGTGGGTCCTTGGCTAGCCTTAGAGAGGGTAGCTTCTAGGTGGAATTTTCCTAGTGCACTCGCCCCTGTCCCCCAAAGTGCTGACAGAAAGCAACATATCCAACAAAATATAGGTTGATAAGGTGGCAGAAGGATATGGAGGGGCGGGAGTACCCGTGTTTCTTCTTCCTTTGTCTTCAGGTCTTTGCTCAAACACCGCTTTCTCAGCCGCCTCCTGCTGCGTAACACCGCGTCTACGTTTGTGGTAGGCTAGCGTGGGTCAAACGCTGATCCACTGGGGGGGTTGCCGTAGACTCCGTATGTGAGTCTGTTCGGCATCATCACTACCTGGGCCTTTAGCTTGTCATCGATTGGTTATTGTGGTCTCGAAGGAGAAGGCGAGATCATAAGAATGGGGGATGTGGCTGGGTCACGTCCCCAGGGCCTGGGAGGTCTCGGGCGATGGTTGATGCTTAAGTGAAACTTGACTGGATACACGAGGGCAGGCAGGCAGCCTTCCTAGGGATAGTGGCACAGGAGAGAACAAATGCCCAGCATTGCTGTGTGCCAATGTGGGCAGCCTTGGGGTCCTGCCCACTCGTTGTCCTCAGCAGGTTCTCGGCCTTGGTACTGTGGCATTAGCCAGGGCGAGCCTTGCTGTGGTGGCCCCTGTGCACTGCAAGGTCTTGTGCAGCATCCTTGGTCTCTACCCACCTGAGACACCAGCAGCACCCCCACCCCCACAGTGACATCCCACAAACATCCCTGGTGGCCCAGTGGGACCATGTGAAATCACCTCATTGAAAACCACTGTTCTAGAGTAACCTGGGGTCCCTGAGCCCCTTCCTGAGTGGGCTGTGGTCGAACACGCAGTCCCAGCCCTGTGCGTATTAATGCTGCCGCATGCTCCCGTAATACAGCGGCTCTTTCTGCATCATCCCCTGGTTACGCATCAATCACTTTGTAAAAAAAGAAACGAGACAAAGGAAGCCGAGTCAGCGGTAGGACGCAGTTTCCTAGCGGGACTGTCTTTTATGGCTGCAGTGATCCCTCAGATGTCAGCGGGAGGCAGAGAGTTAGAAATAATTAAAGCATGTAAACAGACAGAGAGCTGTGACTCAGTGCCCCAGGCACATCGCACAGACACCAGCTGCCACTTGGGGGTGGCCAGAGGGGCTTCTGCAGAGGCAGGGACTGGCCTGCGTGCCCCTCTACCGTGCTGCAGTGTCCATCCACCTGCAGTGCCGGTCGCCTCCAGGCAGGAGGTTGATTCCAGAGTCATAGCCAAGACCATATGGGGGAGGCTCCGACGGGGCTTGGAGGCTTCTCTTCTTCCTTTGAAAACAAGGCTAAATGAAGGTTGGCCCCTGCTTTAAGGTACATTATCAGGGATATTGCAAATGAAGGATTAGGATGACATTGATGCATTGGACAAATGGAAAGACGCAGGAGAGGCTTAGGGTCATTTTTTTTCCATGTAGTAAGAAAAATAATAATGAAATGAATCATTAGGCTCTTATCCTTGCTCATCATGGCCATGAGAAAGCAAGAGGTGTTTGTACATGCACATGTATCTGCATGTGTGTATAAGTGTGCATGTGTTCGTGTGTGCATGTGTAGGATAAAGCCTGCTACACCTTTCCTGAAATTCCTTCACAAAAGAAACTTAACCAAAAACCCAGTTTTAGTCTTTTCTTGGAAGTGGACACATTTCTGCGCTTGGATTACAAGCCATTTCCTCTCCCATGTTAGTGTCGCATATTTTAAATGGAAACTTTCATTTGTTTGGAGGAATGCTTGTGTCCCCTCAACATTCATATGTAGAAATCCCCACCTCTAGGGTGGCTTTAGGAGTGGACCTCTGGGAGGAGATGGACCATGAGGGTGGAGCCCACAACCAGTAGAGTCAATGCCCTAAAGGCCCTGGAGGGGGACTCCTAGCCCTTCCCCAGTGACCACACAGCCTGAAGGTCAGAAAACACACGCCAGACACGGAACCTGACCCCGCCCTGGCAGCCTGACCGTGGACCTCCCCACTTCCACAAGCTACTTAGTTGATGATATTTTGTCACTGCTACCTGGACAGTCGGTGACACCTGGTCTTGAAGAGATTTGCTGTTTTTTGCCCATGGGGGTGATTACTTTCCCTTACCCTTGAGGTCTTTGGATGAAGCGGAGTGTCGTGCAGGGCTGAGCCCCTTGTCCGCCTCTTGATCCTGGAGATCCTGTGCTGTGTTGGCGGCCTGCAGGGTCAGCACTTCCCCAGGGCTCGGGGGAGATGCTCATGGTCCGTCCCGGTTTCCTTGTTGGATCTGTAAGAGTGGGACCTCGTCTTGTTCACCAAATGTCCATAAAGTCGGAGGCCACTAAAGGTTTGTGGGAGCTGCACACAGGCCTTTGCCTGGTTAGTGTGAAATGGTCCATCAACTTGTCAGGGCAGCACAGAGAGTGGCTTTGGTTGGGCCATCTGGCTGTGACTCCAAGTGCCACCACTTCTCTCAGATACTTCTGTTTGGGTCTCCTCCTTTTATCTCTTGAGAAATAAAAAGATGGCGGCTTCCCAGACACACTGACCTTGGATCCTGGGCCGTAGCTGCCGTCTGAGTAGACTGGCCACAGGGGCTTCTTTTGATAAGCCTGGAGCTAGGTCCCCTGTGCCCATCATTGGCATTGATGAGGTGCGTAGTGGGGTTAGGTGTGCAGACCCCGGCCTTGCCAGTTGTACGTGTTTCCCATCTCTGGGATCAGTACCAACTCCTCGGATTTTGTTTTTGTCCTCTACCCCAGAAGTCTTTCATCTTGCCACCCTCCTTCCTCCCTCCCTGAAAGTCACGTGAGCCCAGGGTCCAGCTCAGCCCTGGTGCTCTTGGCAGACGAGGGCCAGTTGCCTTGGTACCATGGTCCAGAGGGTCTGGGGGCCCCATGGAGATGAGCTGCTGTAATGACACTCTGCTTCTTGTTTCAGGGTGCAGCAGAAGACCCTCAGACGGCCCTGGCACTGAACTTCGACACTGCATTGATGAAGAAGTCTGATCCCACGGGTCCCACGCTGCTCCTCCCTGAGAGTGAACTCTCCATCCGGATAGGTAGCACTGGGCTTCTTCCAGGCAAGCTCCCTGCTGTAGACGGCCAAGCCAGACATGTAGACTTGGGGTGGGGTAGGAGAACCACGGGGGAGGTGCCAGGGCTCCGTCTGCCCCTCCAGGGACTCGGCCCACTGCTGCCTGAAAGCCAAACTGGCTCTGGCCTGAGACGCCTTTCTCATCTGTTCTCAAACTTCCTGCTTGCTGTAAAGATGGCACTGGCACCTTTTGATCCTCTTTGCAAGGTGGACGAATGGACAGGGTCAGGTTGAATGGGTAGAGTGTGGGCATTTGTCCCTCTGTCTCCCCCTCTTTGCCCCCCCTTTTTTGATGCTCATCTTTTTGATTCACCTGGGAAACTGGCGGTGTCTCTCGCCGATTCTGTGTGCAGCCAGTAAAACTGACACAGCGAAGCCATGCAGTTGGTTCTGCATTAGAGGCGGGCATTGCTCAAGTCTTGGGGGAGCGGTGCAGGCTGGGCTGCCGCCCTTAGAGCAGCTGTGGATGCCAGGGGACTGTGGTTTTGCAGCCTTGGGAGCAAGATCCTCCCCCACTCCACCGTGTTATTGTTCGGTGAGGACAAGTGGGTCATTTGAGGGCCAGTTAGCACAAGTTGCACACCTGGGTTTTCCTTTAAACTTTTTTAGGAAGTCCTGGTTTGGTGCAGCAAGTCCCTGGTGCTGTGACGGGTTCGCCCCTCACTCTCCTGTGATGTTAGCTAGGCAAAGTCCTGCCCGTAGAAGACCAGTGTACCCAGCAAACCATGTTGAGATGGGCACCTGCCTCTGTGGCATCTGTCTTGAGTGAATTGGGAATGGATGGTCAGTGACTGGTCACGGTCTTCACAGGAGTGACTGAAGGGGACAAAGTCCTTTCCCATTTCCATGCTGGCGTTTTAAGTTGGTATTTTCATCATATCTAGCTGAGATGGTCACCAGCCCCCAGTGGGAAGCTGTGGAAAGTTGGAGCCTCACCGTGGCTGGGTCTCAGTGGTCTGGGTTCAGGTCATGCCCTGCGTGCATTATTCATGGAGAACAGAATGTCTCTTTGACCGCGCTCACCCCCACTGCCCCCGCCACCTCCCATGTGGGATATATCCAGGAAATAAAAGTTCATGTAGCACGAGCTCGAGTAACGGGGGTCAGAATACCACCTCTGCCCTCTGCCTCCAGCTGCGTAGCTCATTCACGTCTGGATTGGGAGGGCCGGGGTGCTGCCCACTCCTCTCCTTTCCTGGAGAGTGTGGTGGGCTACCTCTGGAGATGAGGGTGGGCACCATGTTCCTATAAAACGTGTCATTTTGGAGGCTGAGTCCAGACACAGGCACATGGGCCTCTCTGGATTCCCACAAGCAATCGAATGCCTAGGCTTCGTGTGTCCCTTTGAAGATTTTGCAGTCCTGATTCTGAGCCTTCTGTGGGACGACAAAAGTTGGCCTGAATTTTTTCTATCCCATTGCTTATCTTTAAAGCCACAGAGGTGGGGGTGGGAGGAAGAGATTCAGTGCCTGTCACTCAAACAGTAATTGGCAATCCTTTTGATAGACTTTTTCCAATGGAGCCACAGCAAGGACCAGACCAGGGGAGCTGGTGGCTCTTACAAGACAGCCTGGGGATTACTGGACCTTCTTGGCCATCACAGGGTTAGGAGTTGAGGGGGCCCCTGGAGGAGGGCGAGGCGGTCCTCTCCCCCTGCTCCTGAACACCAGCCTGTTGCCAGGTTACCAAGCAACCCTCCTAGCTGTTGCTAACTGTTCTGATACTTAGGCAAATGCAGCTCTTGGGGGTGTGAAGATAGTTTGCTGAGCCCAGACATCCCTCTCACCTGGACACACCTGTGGGTGTCAGGCATCTGGGGACACTCAGACTACTAATGGTTATTTGATGACTGGCTTCATGCAGATTGAACCTGAATATGCATTGTTTGTACCATCTGGATCTGCCCTTT